AGAAGAGGAGGTTAAGGGGTGATATGATAGCCATGTTCAAATATATAAAAGGATGTCACATAGAGAGGTTGTTTTCTGCTGCTCCAGAGAAGCGGACACGGAGCAATGGATCCAAACTACAAGAAAGAAGATTCCACCTAAACATTAGGAAGAACTTTCTGACAGTAAGAGCTGTTCGACAGTGGAATTTGCTGCCAAGGAGTGTGGTGGAGTCTCCTTCTTTGGAGGTCTTTAAGCAGAGGCTTGACAACCATATGTCAGGAGTGCTCTGATGGTGTTTCCTGCTTGGCAGGGGGTTGGACTCGATGGCCCTTGTGGTCTCTTCCAACTCTATGATTCTATGAACTTTGCACTGAGGATGTGGCACCACACTGGCAGTGTGTCTGTCAGCAGTGTGTCTGTCAGCTGGCACCAAAGGCCACAAAACTACTGTTAAATAGCTTGAACTTGGCCATGCTGGCACAAAGACACACTGTGTCCCATAAAACATTTCTGCTGATAAAAAAAGATGCAGTTGGATTTGGGATGAACAAGTCCATTCCATCCATGTCTGTGGGTTGTTGTTTTTGGGTTAGGAAAACCTTTTAAAATCTGCATACTTTTACCATATATATAAAAGCTCTTTTGCTTTTATAAGGTAACTCTGTTTCTTTCTTTTAAACAATTTTTATAGTGACTTGGAGCAGCTCTCTCACTCTTGTGCTACAGCAGTCCTACATCCAGGACTGCAAGGACTGTGCCTCCTTTACTTGTGTGGTGCTTATGTTTCTCAAATATCAGCCTCCACCCACCACCAGAATGTGTGCAAGGTTCTTGGGGACTCTTAGGCAGTGTATTTGGGTCCCACCCATTTCTTTTATTTCAGTCATTAAATACTGCTCTTCAAATAATAATAATAATAATAATAATAATAATAATAATAATAATAATATCATGGCTATTTACAACACACACATGCGGCCGTCAGAACAGGAACGTTTTCAGCAGGCTTTGACTAGTTGCCAAAGAAGGTGCCTGCTGAACTGTTGGCAGAGCTTTCTGCTGGGCTGGGCCCATGGCACTCAAAGCTCAGTTTATTGTTGTCCAATGAGCCTAGCCAACTTGGGGAAAGACCAAAGATGTTCCTGCAGATGATCTCAGTGACTGAGATGGAATAGAAGTTGTTCAGCATTTTGTAAATTAATGCAAGAACTTTGAACCTGGCTCAGGAGTAAGAAGCCAGTACACACATTTTAGCAATTGTGTTCTATGTTGTCCACCATGTGCCCCCTTATGGCGTCTGGCTGCTGCATCCTGCACTAGGCTCAAGGGCAGTCCCACAAAGTAATCCAGCCTCAAGTTTGCCTATGCATGGACTAGCTGTAGCTGGAAACCAGACAAACTAGTAAAAGTCATTACTAGCCCAAGAGGGCACATGGGCCTCTGGTGACATAGACATATCCAGGAGTACCTCCAAGCTATGCCCTTGTTCCTTCAGAACCCCATCCAGAAAAGTTAACTTGCTGATACCCCAGACACAGGAAGCACCCACCCAATGAGCTTGCATCTTCCCAGGATGGACCTCATCCATCAAACACCAGTCCAAAGCTTTCACAGCCTCTCCTGATTCAGATGTTTTGGAGAAGTAGAACTGTGTGTGTCATCAGCGTACTGGTGACACCTTGCTCCAAAACTCCTAATGCCCACTCTCAGTGGATTTTCATCTTCTTCTTCCTGCTCCTAGGTTACTGCAGAATAAGCAATGTGCTGCTGCTTTGAGAAGGTATGTGCTGTCACTGCTCTTGAAGCCAAGGATGGGTTGGTGTTTGGGAACCTATTAATGCTTATTAATGCTTATCACTCCTCAGATTCAGGCAGTTCAATGACAGTTTCAAAAGGATGTACTGATAAATGATTTTCCGGTAGTTTCACACAGTATGTGGTGGCTCCAATAAGCCTCTTTTTCAACAAAGAACACTGAGGGTCTTTGGAAGTTTGAATGGGTGAATGACAGTCTTAAGCTCCAAAAACCAGGCCTTTTCTTTACCCTTTTATCGGCCTTCTACCAATCGAACTAAGACTCAAGCTGCTGTCTAAGCAATTTACTTGTTAATAGAAATGTGTGGCGATTTATTTATTTATTTTAAATGTGCAGACATCTGTGATGTTTCATTTCAGTTCACCAGTGAACTTTGCATTAGAGATTCCATGCACATGTTGCTCTGTGTAAATGAGTAGACAGAAAGTTGTGGCCTCAGTTTAGATCCACTTATATTTTGAAAAACGATTAGCAAAAGTATTAGATTATTTATATATAGTCTGATTTGCAAACTACTTGAGAGCATATACAGATGCAACACACTTTGCTCCTACAAAAGATGCTATAAGTCCGAGTGCATGTGCCTCTTTCTCCTATACATGATTACTCAGAAGTAAGCTCCACCAAGTTCAATTAGCTTTAGTCTTAAATAAGTATGCACAGAATAGGAGCATTTGCTTAATGAATGCCAGAGACTGCAGTTGATTAATAGCAACCCTTTTATTAGCGACCATACAACAGCCCTAATGCAGACCTTACTTGTGCTTCTCTCCTAATTTCACTTTCCATGCCATACCATACAAGGCATTGCCCATCTATTCAAGATCACATTTCACCACAGCCTTACTCAGTAATAAATGCCTCTGAAATTGCAGGTGGTAAATTAGATTCCCATGGCTGCAGTGAGCCAGATCTATGCACACAGACTGTCCTGATGCAGCTGATCAAGATGCAGCTGCTCATCTGAATGCTCATCTGTATGGCAGGGATCATACAGCCCTCCTGAAATTGCCGGATGAGGTTGGTGCAAGGCATTCTCAACCAGAGCTGCTAATTGTGTGAAACTAATTAGGCACAGCTAGAGGTAGATCAAGGCCATTTAAATAAAGTACACTCCTTTATCTGGTTTGTAGATCTCAGACATCACTCTATCCGCTGGTCAAAATATTTTCACCTCAATTTTAAAGTTAATAGGCAGAGATTATAAATACACTATAGATAAATAAGTACTGCACTCTTTTTTCTTTTGAAGGTAGAGGAGCTGTTGCATGTTTTTATAGGCTACTGAACAAAACAAGTTGAAGTCCTAGAATTCTCAAAATGTGGATTGGGATCTGACAGGAGGCACCTGCAGGGGACCTGCAGATTTTGGGACTATGGGAGTGACACTCTGCTATTTGAAGACTGGCAGATGTGGGGAGAGGCATTCCATCAACTAGCTGGGTCCTAAGCCATTTAGGGCTTTGGAGATTAAAGTCAACATTCTGAACAGGTAGCAAATGGGTAGCTAGTGGAGTTTGTGCTATACTTTGCCCTTTATTGTTGCACTTTTCATAATATGTGAAGTCACATTCTGCCTTCCATCCCATCTTTACAGGCAGATCAATGTAGAGCATTGATGTCCTTGTTATGCAACTTGTGCCACCACCAGCCACCACTCAGATTGTTTTCTTGATAGAAACCCTTCTAAAGATCTGATAAAACCACAAGAATAGCCTGCTGGATCAGGCCAATGGCTTATCTAGTCCAGCAGCCTGTTCCCACAGTGGCCAACAGTGGGAGACCAGGGAAAAGAACATGAGAACAAGAAGACCCTGTTCTCCCACGGTTTCCAGCAACTGGTATTCAGAAGCATTATTGCCTTTGACAGTGGAGGCAGAGCACACCCATCCTGCCTAGGGACCATTGACAGCCCTCTCTTCCCCCATGAATTTGTCTAATTCTCTTTTCAAGCCATCCATGTTGCTAGCCATCACTGCCTTCGGGGGGAGCAAGTTCCATAGTCTGACTATGCCCTGCATGAAGGATGACTTTCTTTTATGTGTCCTAAGTCTTCCAACATTCAGCTTCATTGAATGTCCACAGGTTCTAGTGTTATGAGGGAGAAAAACTTTTCTGTCCTTTTTCTCGATGCCATGTATACTTTTATAAATTTCAGGTTTATAAAATAATTCTCTGCAGTGCTGGGGAGGGCAGCTGCACCATTGCAGAGCAAGACAAGGCCCTTGACAGGAGTGTCAGCCATGCCAAATGGAAAACCCTCCAGATTTGGCATTAACTTACTAGATTCCACAAGTCTTTGAGGATGGACCATTTTATTTGACTCCCTGCCCTTGCAGGAATTAACATCAATTCAAACTTTACCAGAGCATGATGCATTCATGACAATGGAATAATTGGAATACAAATGCAAGATTGAAGGTATGTCTCCTGCTACGGCTCCCTTTGTTAAACTGCTAGCTAATAATCAGAATGGTGGGATCTGTGCATCACAGAATACAGAAAAACAACGGGAGAAATATGCACGTATAAGAATGCTGTTTGAAGGTGCACAACACAGTGACATTAAATGAAACTATGGGTGAAACATCAGGGCTTAGACTGACACACTTTAAAAATAGGCCATGCTGGAAAGAGACATATATGGTACTGAGCAAATGCCAATATTCCACCAGGCTGCAGAGCAGAAAGAGAGAGAAAGGAAGCAGGGTTATTCTATCACTGCTGCTCAGAGTTCCCTTTGTCTCTTCCACAACGGTCACCTAGCAGCAGTCATTCCATCAAGCTCCCTACACTGTTTCCATCCCAACTGGTCATTATAACTTCAAGAACTCGTACCTGAGCTTGTTCCTTTCCTCCTTTCTCCCTGTTCCCTTTTCCTTTTATGTCATCTATTTTAGGTTGTTTTTCATTGATCTGTAAAACTGCTCTGGAACCTCAGGTCTAGGGGCCAAATATGGCTACGCCTCTCAAGATTCTCTGTAAGCTCTACACCTGCTCCACACCCTCCATGAATAGTTCTGCCTGGCCGGAGTGTTTCCTTGGACTGTAATGATTTCCCTTGCTTGCCTGGAAGAAGTGCGCATGAGTACACATCCATGCAAAGCATCAGTGGGGAACCTGAAGGCCTCTAGATGTTACTGGGCTACATCTCCCTTCACCCTTGATCCTTCGTCTGGCTGGAGCTGACAGGAGCTGAAGCTGCAACATAGCTCAGTCAGTAGAGCATGAGACTCTTAATCTCAGGGTTGTGGGGTTGAGCACCACACTGGGCGAAATATTCCTGTATTGCAGGGGGTTGGGCTAGATGACCCTTGGGATCCGTTCCAACACTACAAAAATTGATAAATGATTTAAAAACAAAATATTGCAAGTTATTGTATTGGGAACACTAGCTTGTCCCTTTATACTCTACTGCTGTGATATTCTAAATAAAATTAACTTTCGTTAGTTTGATGGGGCATGAACTTCATGCTCTGTGGTTTCTAGAAAAATTAGGATTTCACCTCTGCATTTATTGCTTCACATTTGTGAAGTACTTCCAGATGATTTGTGGTGATTGTCCATGACTGATATTGTGAGGAAATTCCAATATTCCAATATCCTAAAGTCACAAAAAAACAACAACAAAAAAGTCAAATGAAATTATCTATAAAATATTATGAACCAGATGCAGTGAGTTGAGCTACAACTATATGACCTATTTGTGAGTAACTATTATCTTAACTGCTTTTGTTGTGCTGTATTGTTAATGGGGCTCTGAGCTATTTAAATTGTTTATAGTGGAGAAACTTCTGCGTGCTGGGCTTCTCTTTTGGTCTGCCCTGCGGAAAGGTGGCTGTGGGGCTGCCCCCCACTTCTCTCTGGCTTCTGGGCTCCTTCGCTTGGGATCCCGGACTTCTCCAGTTTCACTTCCCCTTCTCTTCTCCAGTAACTGAGGCCCAGCTAGGAAGTGGGACAAGCGGAAACTCCTCTCTCCTAGCCTTCCCTTCCACTCTAGGAATGGGCGGCTCTATTGTTGCTGTTAACCCTTGCGGAGCCAGGCGGCAGAAACCTCTTGGCTGCTCCAAGTAGAGAGCAAGGAGAGGCACTTGGATTGAGGGATATGCATCAGCTTGTGAGGGGGCGTCTTATCGGAAAGTGATGCTGCTGAACGTCTCCATCTAGATTCAGGGTGTATATATGTGTTAAGAAGCCATATATCATAAAGACACCACAGTCTCTGCTGTGCCTCATTTCCAAAAGGAAACACAGCCCCTGGGAAGCCTTCCTGGTACCCTGGAATCTCACGCCACTTGGAGATTGGGGTGGCATGTAGCAGTATAATAAAACAAACTTATATCTACTAGCCTATAGGGGTGATACTAATTAGGCCATTAATATCAGGTGTAACATAGCTTGTTGGTTATCTTGCTTAGATTGTATATAATGGAGTTAAAGCAGCCCTATCTGCTATCCTTTGCAACGCATCATAAAGCTCATGAAATGCTCTGCTCTTATGAGACACTTCATGGGCAATAAGGCTAAGAAAAAAAGAAGTGTTTAAAAAGGTCATCATTTTTCATATCAAACGACAAGGACAATTATCAAACGGAAGCAGCCTTCTCCACCAACATTTTCAAAAGTGTGTTACCTAGGGCTGCCATACGTCTGGAATATGGCAGTCGGAAACAGGGTCTGGGCAGAAGTTGCTGAAATGTCCAGGAAAATCCGGACGTATGGCAACCATGTCGAAAGTCTAGATTTTGGCAAATTTCCTTAATAGTAGCTCAAGAACCTCAAGAGAGAGAGAGAGAGAAAGAAAGAAAGAAAGAAAGAAAGAAAGAAAGAAAGAAAGAAAGAAAGAGAGAGAGATTTGGAGGGGGGGAAAGGCTCAACAATTTTTGTGTCCGGATTTTCACTTTTTGAAATATGGCAACCCTAGCATTACCCTAGGTAAGGTAGTTGGGGGTACTGGCTTCTGCTTGCATCCCGGAATGTCCTATTTTTTGGTCCAGTGCTCTGACATGAGTCCTTGCACCAGAGTGCCGGACCAAAAGACGCTCACTCTGGCAGGAGTCAGTGGGGTAGGCCAGAGCACCAGACTGAAAGTGACGTCCCAATTTGGGGGACAAAAATATTTGAGGGTATCTGGTGTTGGGGGGGAAACAAGAGAAAACCATGTTCTTCACACTCTGAGAGATCAGAGACCCGGCTGTCTGCTTATGGAAACAGAATGCTAGCACTAGATGGATCTCTGAATTGATCCATGAAGGCAACACTTTTGCACCTGGAGGAGCCATTGATTCAAAAAGGTGTTTAATGTTGGGATTGCATGTGGCTCACTCAGAAGATTAGTAATGATGAACAAGCTTCTCTATATGTTTGCCCATTACTGCTACCCATCAACATCTAAAACGTACAGCCACCAGAGATTATTCCGTGCTCTCCAGGATGCATATGGAACAACAGTGGCAGTAAACAGGCACTTCCCAAACACTCCCCATAATTTACTGCAATGTCCAGAGATCCCTCAATAGACAGGTCAGTGTGGAAAGAATTCCTTGGAGTTGGAAAACAAAGCCACTGAAGCCTAGGGTGTGGAATTAGCTCCATTCTGAGGAGGCAAGTAGTACTCCTTCAGTCAACATTTTGCTGTGGTTATGGTCTGAGAAGCCCAAAATGAACATTGTGAGTCAAAAGGGAAGCTGGCCAGCGTGTGTGAGTCTACCCTTTTTCAGATCTATGCCTCCACCTAGTTTCTAGCCGCGATTGGTCAATCTACAGGGCGGGGGCCAATTCGTATTTCCTTTTCTTCTCCTGTGTAGCACTGGCAGTCTTTCAGCTTTCCAGCCAGGCCTTTACCATTGCACAAGGGCTCTTCCAAGCTTCCCTGTTTGCCTGAATCTAAGAGAATGAGGGAGGCAGGGACACATTTATTTGACCTGCACCAGAACCAGGGGCAGCAGCATCTGTTCAGGGCTGCCCTGAGTTGTCCAGCAACTGACTGTAACAACTTCATGGTGAACTCTGGCACCTGCTTTTCTTGAGAAAAAGCACTACTCGAATCCCTTAGTTTCCTGAATATAAAGGAGATCTAGTATAAGCAACACACCACTCACTTTGAAAAGGTTTGGCTACGCATAGGGCAGAGCATCCTTTCAGGCGCTGAGAACTGCCATTATAAGACAGCCTATTCTAACATTCAACTGTGATGTCTGACACATTTATTTCTCTATTTATAAAGAGAACAGTCCAATATGCAATGCCCCCCCAACCATGCACACATGTGCATGCACACAATGTGCCACGTGATTCTGTTGCAAATAGGCACAGAGCCTAGAATTATTTGTTTATATCTTTTGAGTTATGATTTCCATTTCTGGTCATCAATTTTTACCATAATCTCAAGGCACTAGTTTTATCTAATACAGGACAAGAAATCAATAAAAAGCAAAGTGGTATACTTGTGCCGAGAAAGCAAAGTGAAAATAGCTACACGAAACCAAAGGGATCCATTTTCAGTGACAAGCAAATCTTTTCTGCAGATTGTGTTGAAGCAAAACATTGCCTCTTGATTTATTTTTTCTTTTGTTCCTTTATAACGAAACTAATCTTTCTCACAGCTTATATAGCAGCAACAAGAAAAGTTACATTTCCTCTATGAAGAAATTTATCAAAATGTGCTTATCTCTGAATTATTTTGTCCTGCTATGTAAAAGTAATTAACATAGCCAAACCATGTTCCTCCACTTAAAAAAAACACTTAATGAAACAAATCAAAATGGGCCAAGAAATTCCTGTTTCCACCACAGCTGATCCTTCTTTGGAAATCTTAATATGTGCAAAGCTATTGTATAAAACAGCCTTCTTAGCTTGGCATCTCTTTCAACGGGGGCAGGGGACTAACTTTGATCAAAATACCATGTTTTCACTCCCCCCCCTTTGTAGTTCATTGATTGCATGCCCAGGTACAGCCCCCCCCCTTCCAGAAGCCAGACACCATATTTAGGAATAAAATGGCCACAACTTTATTAAATTTCAGATGTAGGAAACCTTGTCTTAGGCATTGGGCATGTATCCCTCTCAGCCCCTGCTGGGCAGGACAGGGTCAATTGGGAATATGGGGACACTGCAAAATGTGCGTTTACACCGCTGGCACCCTCCCTCGTTGCTGAGGGGAGCTCTATGGCCACTGCTGTGCGCTTGTGGTCAGAGACTCCCCTCAAGACCCCTCTAATGGGGGACCCTGATATCGCTGCCGCAAAAGGGGTGAGTCACCGCAACACCCCTTCCTCAGTTGTTGGACTAAAGGATTCTGCCCAAGCCTAAAACCGCCAAAGTTGTGACAATTGCTACGGGGAAGGCAAAACCTGTAGGCAGGGGAACTTCCTTCCTGGCTCTGAAAAAACAGCAACCATCGTCCGACCATAGCAACGCCCATGGACCTGGAAAGGAGAAAGGTCAGTCTGAAAGAAAAGACACAACTGGAGGGAAGGCTGGGTGGTGATGCTCTGGGGCCGCCTGCGCTGCTGGCATCACAGAAGGCCCTCATTTACCCTTTTGGAGCAGACCAGAGTGAAGACTGCTCAATCCTGGTCCGCTCCCTTAGCCCCGCCCCCAGACCACCGCAGATAGGCCAATTTGTAAAAGGGTTTTTAAAGCAAGAACCCAAAACCAAACTCTGCAGCGACAAGAGGGTGGGAGGAGCAATGGCCAGTGGAGCAGCGGGGTCACGGGCCGGGCCACAAACCTCGCCTACCGCCGGACTTGGTGAGCGTATATATATATATAATATTTTTAACCGCAATGGGTGTTTCAAGATCCTACAAAATCACTGTAATTTCACTTTAAGGTACAAGTGAAATAGAAATGGACTCCCCACACTACTGAGGAATTTAGCACATTTTGCGAATGTACATTCTTCAGTGTTCCATCCGCAGAAGTGTGGGGGACCTAGTGGAGGGGGAGAGGGAGAGACAATTCCCTCTGTTCCTTCTCCCTGTAAAAAGTTTTTTTAAAACAAGTGTGGTGCTTGAGAAACAACTGCCTTTCGTCTACGCTTGTCAAACAGGGAAAAAATAATGTGACTACAATGCCAGGCTGTTGATCACTGACTTACTCTAGGGATTGGAGGTGGATTCAGTGCAATGCTTTCTCTCTCTCACTGTGGGGAGGCAGCAATCACAATTTTCATTTGGCTGCTAGAGCTGATAGCTGTCAATCTCTTTTCTTGCTCCCACCCCCTCTTGATTCCCCCACAAAATGGGGGTGTTCTTCTATTTAAGGTGAGCAACAA